CTCAGAATCCGCAACTGCAGAATGTCTTAATTCCTGTGCTCTTACTCACCTACTTAATCACCTTAGCAGGTAACCTGCTCATCTCCATCACTATCTTCATCAGCCCAGCCCTGGGCTCTCCCATGTACTTTTTCCTGTCCTGCTTGTCCCTTATCGATGGTTTCTACTCCACCTCCATAGCTCCCAAAATGATCTTTGACTTGATTTCTAAGAAGAATACCGTATCCTTTAATGGTTGCATGACTCAGCTATTTACTGAACATTTTTTTGGTGCAGTTGAGATCATCTTATTAATAGCAATGGCTTATGACCGATACGTGGCCATCTGTAAACCTCTACACTACTCAACCATCATGAGCGGCAAGCTGTGTAGTTTCCTGGTGGGAACGGCTGTGGTTTTGGGGGTTATTCATGGAGGGATCCAGCTTTTGTTCATACTCCAATTGCCGTTTTGTGGTCCTAATGTCATTGACCATTTTATGTGTGATTTAATTCCTCTCCTGGAGCTGGCCTGCACAGACACTCACATCTTGGGACCCCTGATAGCCACCAACAGTGGGTCACTCTGTTTGCTCATTTTTTCCATGCTACTCACCTCCTACATCATCATCTTGCACTCACTAAGGTCTTACGGCTCTGAAGGTCGCCACAAAGCCCTCTCCACATGTGCCTCCCATATTACTGTTGTCATTTTATTCTTTGTACCCTGTTCATTTCTGTACCTGAGACCTATGACCTCTTTCCCTGCTGACAAAGCAGTGACTGTATTTTGCACTCTCATAACTCCTATGTTGAACCCTTTAATCTACACCCTGCGGAATGCAGAAGTGAAAAATGTCATGAAGAAACTTTGGGGTCAAATAATGGAAAACAGCAGTAAATAAATCTTATATTATAAACATTTGGATCAATAACTCCTGATTAAACTCAAGACAATAACTTATCCTGCCCTTTTCGAACTTTGAATCTAGATGGGTAAATAAGAAAACTTGAAAATAAAATAGCTGTTACAGGATATTATGAGTGATATAGGAACAAATTTGCCTTATGTAACATGACAATAAAAATTCCAGTTCTGAGTTATAAAAAAGAATTTATACCATAAGTGCACTGCATTATTGAGAGGTTTGAAAATAGATAAGTTGAATTCAGAGAAGAAAAAATGTGCTGGACCAAAAAGATATGGTTTCTCACCCAGTTTATTGCCATAATAAGCAATAAATGAGTCACAAATTATTCAGAAGAAAAAATAGTAGAAATTGCTCAAACTCTGAAGACTGCAGAGATACCCCCTGGGCATGTGGTACTCTGTCTATTTCTGATGCGGAGCCAAACAGCACAGATCTAATGCCTTGCTAATCATGAGCATAGCAAGACCAGTTATTGCCGTCTCAGTTTCACTTCACTCAAAACGTATTATAAATGCTATTTGTTTACTTGTAGGAACATTAGCAGGGTGAATTATTACCTCTGTCATCTCTCCATCTGTTGCATTTGGGTGGCTTAAGTGTTGCTCAGATACGGAAAACTGAAAACCCGTATGAAAAAATTTCACATGTTGCCTAGTTACCATAATGAACTGGTTTCAAAAGCATCTAGACTAAGGCAACTAGACAGAGGCATTTGGTGATCGGTTCACGAAAGATAGTAAATGAAAATCCTATGGGCCAAAACAAAACACTGTTTTATATAGTGCTGGAAGATGAGTGTATGATTGAAACACAATGTATATGAATTTTGTATGCAGATAACAAAATAAAAACACATTTTAAAAAAACTTTTAAAAGTAGTGCATTATTTGAAAAAAATGGTATCTCCATCAATAGGCAGGAAGATATGAGTATCAATAAATCAATGATAAAGTTAATAATTATCATAGCTTTAATTTAGAGAGTATTTACTATGTGCAACAAGAGAACAAACAAGTCTGTCTGGGAGAGGGTGAAACCAAGTTTCTCCATGAAAGATAGGATTTTGAAGCTTCGTCTCACATACTTTTGGCATGTAGCCAGGAGGGACTTGTCCTTGAACTCAGAAGGATGGAGGGGCAACACAGGAGAGGAAGACCCTGGATGAGACGGATTGATACAGTAACTGGGGAAATGGTGTGTGTCAGAATCGTGACTCTGCCTGAAGATAGGGTAGGCTTCAGAGCTATTGAGTCACAGGCAACTTGTGGACACATAACAACAACTTTTACTATGTGTATAAGTGTGTTAACAGAAATCAGCATTTCAAATCCACCAGTTACTTTTCAGGAAAATGATGAGGCTATTTTCTCCTGCAAATATTATAGTGCTTCCAGCACTATATAAAACAGTGTTTTGTTTTGGCCCATAGGATTTTCATTTACTATCTTTCGTGAACCGATCACCAAATGCCTCTGTCTAGTTGCCTTAGTCTAGATGCTTTTGAAACCAGTTCATTATGGTAACTAGGCAACATGTGAAATTTTCTCATTTCAATTGACTTCTAACCAGGACTTTACCACTACACTACTATAATGATTTTCTTATTTTATTTTTTTTTTTAGTGTTCATTGGGTTTTCAAAGGCATGTTATTTAGGAAGTAGATGGCCCATCCTGCTTCCAATAAGCTAGTATAGCAATCTATGAAATGCAGATGTGAATCAAGTCCACTTGATTGGTTATTGTCTTCTCAACTCTGCCAAGATTTTGGTTCTTCAAAGATCCATGTTCAGTACTGAAAGAGTTCCTTTCATTATCAATTCGAGACTCCTTTCTGACTTTGTCAGAAACTTTCCTGACTCTTTATAACTAAACTTAAGAATAATATCTCAAAAACAATCTTGTACTTATTCATACGTGGTTGTGTGGCAGTCATTTGCTCCAAAGAACTTCTTCTTATATTTTTCTTTCTAGAAACTGTAAATAGACTATAACATAGTGTGGGATGTAGCAATACAATGACTCCTTAGATCTTCAAAGTATTAGCAATTGGCCATTTTGAAACCTTGAGCAAAGCATAGGCCATTTTTTTTTACTTACTCCCACTTGATAACCACAAACTTTGAGTATTCAGTTTCTGAAAATGACTGAGCCTGAGTGCACTCACTAGTCTATGCTAGGAAATTTGAAAGACAGCTGTCTGGGCAACAGATTAGAAGAGGTCCATATGTGTTCCCATTCCCAGGAAATGTTATCCAACAGAATGTGAAAACCACTGAACAATACCACTGATACCACATACAAGCAAAATACTGCTGAAGATCATTAAAAAATGGCTAGAACAGCACATAGATATGGAACCGACAGAAGTTCAAGCTGGATTTATAAGAGGCCATGGCACCAGAAATGTCATTGCTAGTGTCAGATGGAACCTGTCTAAAAGTAAAGAAAATCAGAAGAATGTCTATTTGTGTTTTCTTGACTATGCAAAGTTGTTAGACTGTGTGGATCATAACAAGTTGTGGGTGACATTGAGAAGAATGGGAATCACAGAGCATTTAATTGTGTTCATGCAGAACTTATAGCTGGATCAGGAGGCTGTTGTGACAATAACGCAGGGCAAGTGAGTGCACCAAGGTTGTATTCTCTCTCCACACCTATTCAATCTGTATGCTGAGCAAATTATTCAAGAAGCTGGACTCTATGAAGAGAAT